CCTAGGATCATGCAAAATAATAAATTCCAAAATTTGTCTAAAATACAAGAACTTCTGGGCACATAGGCACCAAGTAGGCATACCCTTGGAGGCAACCGATCTTTTGCATTCCAGTATATCTTGGCCGCCTTCTCCAACTCCTTCAAAAGCTTCCAGTTATCAGCTGCCCTGTCAAAAGAGGAGCATCAAATTATAAATAGGACGTGCAGTCTGAATTACATTCTATCTAAGATGCTCCATCCCAACTCCTGGAGTTTCTTACCATATTTCTTTATGCTGCTTTCTAACAGACACGTCACACCTCCTTGTTAACAGATATTTTTAAAATAATTCCTCTTTTTTTAAAAGATTATGGTTTCAATTAACCATACTTCTCCCAAAAATTTTAAGTTACTTGCATACAGCCATAGGCTCATATGCCAGCTTTTTTGGTCCACACGATAGAAGCTTACATTTCTTTATAGCCTGTTACAACATCATAGGCTGCAGCTACTGAATCTCTGAAGCTTACGTTCTTGTTTTCTCTCAATCATAATCTCATTGAGAGCCTAAAGATACTAGAGAACATACTAACAACATGTCTTGCTTGTTTTCAAGGATCATCTCTGATATGCACAAAACTATGCACATCTTTGTTTATTGTGAACTATTCAAAATTAAACTTTTAGCTGATCAGAGACATTTACCACGAAAGAGAATAGAAGTTAGGAAAAGAAAATGAACAAAAATTTGTCCTAAAATCAACCATGTGACAATGCCAGTGGAGTGTACTAACAGGAATTCAAAATTGACTGCTGAAAATGTTGAAACAATTTGCTTATCTATATGAAAAAACATTAGAAGCACTTTACATATCTGCGAAACAAATTTAATCTTCAAAGGACAATAAAGACCTAGAATATCTTTACTTGTAAGTAACTCTCCCCATGCTTTAGCTAATAAGAATGTATAGGTTGCTTCTTGAAACTGTTGATTGAGAAATTCATCAGAAAGTTGTGAGGCTTATAGAAAGCCTCTTTCATAATGTAGGAAACAATGAAGGGTTTAAGAAAGGCATGTGATAAAGATGAACCTGATGTTTGCCAAAGAATTCATACCGCATGAAAAGCATACAAAATGTTTGTCTGGCAGTAGTTACGTAATGAGATGATTCAAAAATATGGGTGACCGTTGACAAGTTCACCCAATAACTTAATAAATGGTTGCCATTCGAGTAAATGTATAATAATGATGTTATACTGTACCAACACACAAGAATGACTAGTAGCAGAAATGGGAAATTTTACATCGGTTCAACATGAAACAAACTCATTAGGATATTCAGAAGCTGAAATGTTAGATCTATATCATAAACTTGAGATCTAAAACTATATAGCCATGATTAATTCAAAGAGATTAACAAATAAACAAAAGAGCGGAAGCTTATACCTGAATCCATAGATTGATCTTGATTTTGGGTTTTGGATCTTCTAACCTTAGGGTTCCTCTAAAACCGAATTTCTCTCTTAGATGGGGTTGAAGAGAATTAGAGAATGTAACCCTAGGTTAGGGACCATAACCCCTTATTTATAGATGTTGTACTTTTGTAATTTAGCCCCTCAATAAATTACAATTACAACCTGGTATCTGCACATATAACCCCATGACTTATTTAAATACCAAATTAACCCAACTTAATTGATCACTTTAGTGGGTTATCCTGAAAGATAGCAATACACATTGATTAATCATATGTGCCCACAAATAGATTTATTAGATTAAATCCAACAATCTCCCACTTGGGCACCATATGATTCCTTAAATTGTGTATAACCTTATGAGCTCAAAAAATTGCTATCACTGAAATGGTATTTCCGAACAATCTCGTCCATTGACTATATCAATATAGGATCAAAGCGGCCTTCGTCACATTTATCGTGACTCGACCCATCAATGGTCACATATACCAATACAATCAAACGACATAGATCAATCATGGATGCGCAGCATGAAAATTACATGCAATGTGATCAGTACATGTCTATTTTCAACTGGTCCTCCTTAATGAGGTCAAAACCAAACATAATGTAACAGAGTGTCTTAACTGAAAACTTTATTCTGATCAGACAATACAAACAAACATAAAGCACCACAAATACAAACTCCCACTAAAACATAATATCCTCAAATAATACCACACCCATATGAGCAGTATGCTCATGAAAGACCTTAGGTGGCAATCCCTTAGTAAGAGGATCAGCTATCATGGAGTTTGTCCCAATGTGCTCTATGGATATCTGTCCACTCTGTACCCTTTCTTTCACAACCAGGAACTTAATGTCAATATGTTTTGACTTAGTTGAGCTCCTGTTGTTATTGGAATACATTACTGCAGATTTATTGTCACAATATAGCCTTAGTGGTCTTTCAACATTTTCCAAAATGCGCAGTCCCGTGACAAAATTTCGCAGCCATATTCCCTGATTGGATGCCTCATAGCAAGCTACAAATTCTGCTGCCATAGTGGAGGAAGCTACTAGTGTTTGTTTGACACTTTTCCATGATATAGCTCCTCCTGCTAACATATAAATGTAGCCTGATGTAGACTTCCTGCTATCTTGGCATCCAGCAAAATCAGAGTCCGAATACCCAATGACCTCTAATTTCTCTGATTTTCTGTATGTGAGCATGTAATCTTTTGTTTTCTGAAGATACCTCATAACCCTTTTGACTGCTATCCAATGATCCATACCAGGGTTGCTTAAGTATCTGCCTAACATCCCAACAATGTACGCAATATCCGGACGCGTACATACCTGAGCATACATTAGACTTCCTACAGCCGAAGCATAAGGAATCTTCTGCATTTCCTGAATTTCAAGGTTACCTTTAGGGCACTGATTGAGACTAAACTTGTCTCCTTTAGCAACAGGGGTGTCACCTGGTCTGCAATCTTGCATGCCAAACCTTTTAAGTACCTTATCGATATAGCTCTTTTGTGATAATCCAAGAATACCCCGAGAGCGATCTCGATGTATCTGGATCCCTAATATAAAAGAGGCGTCCCCAAGATCTTTCATCTCAAAATTCTTTGATAGAAATCTCTTGGTTTCGTGCAACATGCCTATATCATTAGTGGCAAGCAAGATGTCATCCACATACAGAACCAGAAAAATATACTTACTCCCACTGAACTTGTGATATACACAGTCATCAACAATGTTCATCTCAAAACCGAACGAGATAACTATTTGTTGAAACTTATGATACCATTGACGAGGAGCTTGCTTGAGTCCATAGATGGATTTCCTTAATTTGCAGACCATATTCTTTGGGTCTCCCGACACAAAGTTTTCTGGTTGCACCATATAGATCATCTCATCAATGTCTCCATTGAGAAATGCAGTCTTAACATCCATCTGATGTAACTCAAGATCATAATGAGCAACAAGTGCCATGATTATTCTGAAAGAGTCTTTCGATGAAACCGGAGAGAAAGTCTCTGTATAATCAATGCCTTCCTTTTGAGTATAGCCTTTAGCCACAAGACGTGCCTTATACCTCTCCACATTACCGTTTGCATCCCGCTTGGTTTTAAAAATCCATTTACAACCAATTGGTTTTGCACCTTCTGGTAATGGGACAAGTTCCCAAACCTTATTGTCTTGCATAGACTTGTACTCTTCATTCATGGCATCAATCCACTGTTGAGAGTTAGAACTTTTCATGGCCTGAGAGAAGTTGATTGGATCATCTTCTAACATTCCACTACTTTCCTCATGTTCTTGGAGAAATACAATATAATCATCCGGAATAGCATTTCTCCTTTCTCTCGTGGATCTCCTTAATGGCACTGGTTCTTGAGGTTGTTGAGTTTGTTCTTCTGGAACAGGGAGTTGTTCAACATTATCATCTTGAGGTTCCGGATTTACTTCTTGAGCAACAACAGGTATAGGAACCTGAATATTGTCAAAAGTAACTGTATGGATTGGATCTGAAGCCAATTCCTCCTCAAAACTAATGTCTCTAACCTTATTTCTCCCCCCAAACTCAACATCCTCAAAGAATGTTGCTGTTCCCGTCTCAAAAATGTTCCTTATAGTGGGATCATAAAACTTAAAGCCCCTAGAGCGTTCAGAGTATCCAATAAAGTAGCTGCTAACTGTTTTGGAGTCCAATTTCTTTTCATTTGGCCTATAAGGCCTTGCCTCAGCTGGACATCCCCAAATATGTAAATGCTTTAAACTGGGCTTTCGACCAGTCCAAAGCTCATAAGGTGTTTTAGCAACTGCTTTACTTGGTACTCTATTCAGAATGTAAGCTGCTGTCTTAAGTGCTTCTCCCCAGAGTGACTCTGGTAAAGAAGAATGAGCAATCATACTTCTTACCATATCCTTAAGAGTCCTGTTTCGTCTTTCAGCTACACCATTCATGCTAGGTGAACCCGGCATGGTGTACTGTGGGACGATACCGTATTCCTCTAGGTATCTAGCAAATGGTCCTGGACGTTGTTCACCTGAACCATCATATCTACCGTAGTACTCACCACCACGATCAGATCTGACGGTTTTAATTCTTCTGTTGAGTTGATTCTCAACTTCAGCTTTATAGGCTTTGAACATGTCCAGAGACTCAGATTTTTCATGAATAAGATATAGGTGCCCATAACGTGAGTAATCGTCTATGAATGATATAAAATATTGTTGACCATTCCAGGATTCCGTAGGGAATGGCCCACAAATATCCGTATGTATCAATTCTAAGACATCCGAAGATCTGTTGGCACCTAATCTTTTCACTTTGGTCTGTTTTCCCTTGATACATTCAACACATACGTCGAAGTCCGAAAAATCAAGGGAATCCAAAATGCCATCAGACACAAGACGCTCAATTCTACCTTTTGAGATATGACCTAAGCGCTTATGCCATAATGTCGCCGAATTTTCCTTATTTAATTTACGCTTAGTACCACGTGATTCCACATGCAAGGATTCATTGTAAGAAGCAATTGTATCAAGCAAATATAGGTTGTCATAAATACTCAAGTAACCGGTTCCCACAACATTTGAATTAAAAGATAAACTGAATTGACTGTTTCCAAATGAACAAGAATAACCTGATTTGTCCAATACAGAAACAGAAACCAAATTCCGTCTAAAAGACGGTACTACAAAAGTATCTTTTAAATCCAAATAATAACCAGTTCCTAACAACAACCTAAAGTGCCCAATTGCTTCCACATCTACCGATTGTCCGTCGCCCACAAAGATGTGTCTTTCAACATCACTTGGCTTTCGGTAGCTCAGGCAACCCTGCATAGAAACACTTATGTGAGTAGTAGCACCAGAGTCTAACCACCAAGTGTTTCTAGGTACTGAAGCTAAATTAACCTCAGAACAGACCAAAGCAAGGAACGTACCCTTATTATCACGCCAGGCGTGATATTTTGTACAGTCCTTCTTTACATGTCCAGGCTTCTTACAGAAGAAACAACCCTGATTATCCTTATGTTGTTTCTTCTCAACTGGACCCTTAGCAGCTTCCTTATCATTCTTCCTTTTCTTGCCCTTATCCTTAGAGGCATAGGCCAAATGAGCACTTTCTGTCTTATCTTGCTTCAACCTGTCTTCTTCTTGCACACAGTATGAAATGAGCTCATTTAGAGTCCATTTCTCCTTTTGACAGTTATAACTGACCTTAAATTGGTTAAACTGTGCAGGAAGAGACAACAAAACCAGATGCACTAATAACTCGTCACAAAGATCGAGTTTAAGTGCCTTAAGCTTTGAAGCAATATGAGACATTTCCATAATGTACTCCCTGATATTTCCTTTGCCCTTATACTTCATTGAAATCAAGCGAGCTAAAAGCGTGCTTGTTTCTACCTTATCGTTTTTCGCAAAACGCTTCTCAATTTCGGCAAGGAAATCTTTAGCCTTAGTAATCCCTTCGGATTCTATGCCCCTGAAGGCTTCCGGAACGCCGCGCTTAATGATCATAAGACTCATGCGATTTGAACGCTCCCACTTCTCATGCTCCTTCTTTGCATCAGGAGTGCTATCCGCATTGAGAGGTTGGGGTTGTTCAGTTCTTAATGCATAGTCAAGATCCATGCAGCCAAGAACAATTAATATGTTCTCTTTCCAAACCTTGAAGTTTGTCCCATTTAGCATGGGAATTGAGTTGATGTTAGCAGAAATTGTTGCAGCAGATGCATTAGCTGAAATAAAACAAAAGAATGCTCACATCAATAACCATAATCAATAGAATTCAAATAATGACAATCCCCATCCAAGATATCGGCACAACATTAATATCAAGTCTTTGGACAGTAATATTAACTTGTAAGTGATAACTTGTTGCAATGATCAAACATTGACAATAACTCATGTCAAATAATGAAACTATCTTTGGATCGATTCATTATTCACATGTAAACCTTATAATTGTCACACGCTTATCATCGCAGATGTGTATACAGTCTAAATAAATATTAACCTTCCTTTGGGCCGATTAAATATTTACACGAAAGCATACACACAAACATCTCACATTCCTCATGAACAATCTACACAAGAGAGGTTACTTTGGCAACTTCTTGCTTCAATTAATCAATTGGAGTGAAAGACAACCTTAATACCTTAGTGTCATAATATTTGAATTAAATAATTGATTAAAAACCAAACTTAATTGGGGTCTCACAGCTTAATTAGGGCCCATAACTTAATTGAATAAATTAAGTATACCAAAGTGGACCCATGAAAAGCCGAGGCTTAACCATAATGAACACGAGGTTCCCTTAACTTTGAACGCGAGGTTCAACTGTATTGAGTACGAGACTCACTTAAGCACGAACGCGAGGTTCGTCTGAAAGTGAACGAACGCGAGGTTCGTTTGATAAAAGAACGCGAGGTTCGTTTAAAGTACGAACGCGAGGTTCGTCTGAAGTACGAACGCGAGGTTCGTCTGAATTACGAACGCGAGGTTCGTCTTAGAACGAACGCGAGGTTCGTTAAAATTGAGCTTGACGCTCACCTGAGTTGAACGCGAGGTTCACCTTAGAACGAACGCGAGGTTCGTTGAGCGCGAAGCTCGGTTAAAATTGAACGAACGCGAGGTTTGTTTGAGGTAACCACCTCCTTAATTTTCGCCATGAACCCTTAGGGTTTCAAATTGAAACCGCCGCCGTAAACCCAAAAAATCTTTGATTTTTATTTTCAAAACAGATCCAGAATTGGAAAAAATTGAAGGAAAAATCAAAGAAAAATCCAAAAAATTCCAAAAATTACTGTTCATCGGCGATTTTTCAGTTACTGTTCATCCGAAAAAAATACTTTACTGTTCACCCGAAAAAAAAATTTCGCTGCTGTTCACCGAATATTACTGTTCATCCGAACCCAAAAATTGAATCTTTAACTAGAGATTTAAGATAAAAAAACCCAATAAAACTTAAATCCCTAAGAATTAATCAAGGTGGCTCTGATACCACTTGTTAGATCTATATCATAAACTTGAGATCTAAAACCATATAGCCATGATTAATTCAAAGAGATTAACAAATAAACAAAAGAGCGGAAGCTTATACCTGAATCCATAGATTGATCTTGATTTTGGGTTTTGGATCTTCTAACCTTAGGGTTCCTCTAAAACCGAATTTCTCTCTTAGATGGGGTTGAAGAGAATTAGAGAATGTAACCCTAGGTTAGGGACCATAACCCCTTATTTATAGATGTTGTACTTTTGTAATTTAGCCCCTCAATAAATTACAATTACAACCTGGTATCTGCACATATAACCCCATGACTTATTTAAATACCAAATTAACCCAACTTAATTGATCACTTTAGTGGGTTATCCTGAAAGATAGCAATACACATTGATTAATCATATGTGCCCACAAATAGATTTATTAGATTAAATCCAACATGAAATGCTATGAGTAAATAAACACCAAATTCAAAACTAAAATTGATACAATCAAGCAAGAGTTCCGCCCTGCTTGATAATTAAGCTATGAGTGTGAAATGTAATTGTAGCATTATACCATAATAGAGTTACTGTTACCTGTTATATCGTTCGAAAACAAGAACAATCAACGGGCTGGGGTGAAATGCGAAGCTCTCCCATTCCAAGCAATTGATCTCCTTCACCCACCCTTCATCAATCTCTCCTTCCCAATCAATTTCGACCCCATCAACCACCACATTCTTTATCGAATGCTTCTCGAAGTACTCCGACGCCCTAACCCCCCATCCAACATCCGCATCCAATGGCCAATTTGGATCCTCTTCTTCAATCACATGATCATCTTCCTTCCCCTCTTCCTTCTCCTCTTCCTCCTTGATTCTCTCCTTCAAAATTTCCCCTTTCCCATCCAAAACCTCAGAGTTTTTCTCTCGAATCGAAGCAAATGTCTTCTCCAATGAGTCTCGGATGAAGTCCTCGACTGCCGCCGCCTCGCTCCGGCGACCACGCCGTGGCTTTCTCGGAATCGTCGACGGGAAGAGATCGCCGGAGGGATTCTCTGAAGGGACTTTGGGATTTTGACGGCGGCGAGCAGAGGCTTTCTTGGGATTAGGGTTAGGGTCAGGTTCTGGGGGCTTTTCGGAGTTGGAGCTCGCTGGTGCGGAGAAATCATGTTTAAGGTTTCGATTGCGATGGAAGAGAGAATATTTGAGGCCAGGGTTAGGGTTAGGGTTTGTGATGAACGGGAAAGGGTTTAGGTTTTTCGGAACGAAGAAGGATTGGAGGAGTGACATTTTTTTATCTTTCTGCTTCCGCGGGAAAAAAAACGAAGAAAATAAAACCTGCGGATATTTTTTTTTACCAGCCGTCCTCCTGGGTTTTCCGGTGTTTAGCTCTTTCATATTTGGAATTAGTCCTATCGAATCATTAAAATTGCTATTAGATGCCACAATTCCTGAGTCACTCCAAAATTAGTTCCTCAAATGATTAAAATTGCCGTTAGGTCCCCCAATTCTTAAATCATTAAAATTGCTATTAGATGCCACAATTCTTGAGTCACTCCAAAATTAGTTCCTCAAATGATTAAAATTGCCGTTAGGTCCCCCAATTCTTATGCCATTTGAAACAAGACCCTCCGGTCAAGAGTAAGAGTATCATAGGGAAATTAGTTCCTCAAATCATTGAAATTTCCATTATGTCCCCTAATTCTTGTAAGTTATTTGAAATTAATCCCTTTAATGTCTTCTGCAATTGATAAGGGGGAATAATTGTAAACACGGAAGTTGTGAGTGGATTGTGGGGGCCACGAGCTGGCAAACCTATCAAGACACGCGATTTGATGTAATCCCTTTCCGCTCATGAATTGGTTCCGCTCCGCGTGGCCCACCCGAAATTGAGTTGCATGCTATAAATAGGAATTGTATTTTCTCCTTAGGTTTTGTGTAAGGCTGGGGGCGAAATTGTGCAGAAAGAAAAAAATCGGCGGCTGTGCTTCGTGCAAAGGAGCAGCGGGCAAAGGGAAAAGTGCAAGCAAGGGGGCTGATTTGGACGCGGAAGCAGAGGGGAGAAATTAAAGAGGCGGCCTGCAGAGCTGTTCAAAGGCAGAGAACAAGTGCAAACAGGAGAACGCAGAAGTAGGCTGTTCTTTGGCTTGTTTGGTGGCTGTTCTTGGGTGTTGACGGCTGTATTTTTGTGTGAGGCTTTTGAGAGAGATAATTGTGTCAGGGTTTAGATTGAGTGGTTGTAAACCCTAGTTGTATTATCTCCCTCTAATAGTAGATCTCCCCCCTCCTTGCCCCGTGGACGTAGGCAGTTTGCCGAACCACGTAAAATTGGTTTGTTTGAGTTTGTGGCCATTGTAATAGTTTTAGGATCCCTCGACAGGTCAGTCCTAGAACTGATGAGAGGAAGAGCCGATATCTCACTTGGTTGAGATATCCGCTTCAGATTCTTGTCTCCTTGGTGAGACGGAAATTCTTATATCGATCTTTCTCTCTTATTGTGCACCAGAAACTCTGCCGAAATTTCCGCTGTACTGGACACAACAAGTGAGACATTTGATTTGGTTGGTGTCGGCTCAGTTTTGGGAAAGCTTCGCCGAGGTGGAGAATTGTAAACACGGAAGTTGTGAGTGGATTGTGGGGGCCACGAGCTGGCAAACCTATCAAGACACGCGATTTGATGTAATCCCTTTCCGCTCATGAATTGGTTCAGCTCCGCGTGGCCCACCCGAAATTGAGTTGCATGCTATAAATAGGAATTGTATTTTCTCCTTAGGTTTTGCGGAAGCAGAGGGGACGTCTTTTGCTGGCGGCTGGAGAAAAATCGCAAGCAGCAAAGGGCGTGCAAAGGCGGGTACAAAGAAAAAACAAAGCGGCGGCTGCAGCAAAGAAAGAAAAATCTTAGGGATTTGTGAAGAGAGTTTTGTGCAGTCTCTTGTGTTTTCTTTTGTGAGAGATTAGAGAGTTAGTTTGAGGGTTTATTTTGTGAGATTGTAAACCTATTGTATTTTCTCTCTAATAGTAGATCCTCCTCCTTGCCCCGTGGACGTAGGCAGTTTGCCGAACCACGTAAAATTGGTTGTTTGAGTTTGTGGCCATTGTAATAGTTTTTAGGATCCCTCGACGCGCAGTCCTAGAGCTGACGAGAGGAAGAGCAAATATCCCACTTTGATGTGTTATTAGGCTTTCAGATTCTTGTTCCCTTTGAGAAACAAGAATTCTTATCGATCTTTCTCTCTTATTGTGCACCAGAAACTCTGCCGAAATTTCCGCTGCGCACAACAAGTGGTATCAGAGCCCAGATTCCAGATCTAGGGTTTGGTTGGAGGAGTAGATCAATTTGGAGGCCCGTTTAGGACTTCGTTGGTGATAAAGGTGGGATCTTTTGGTAAAGACTTTATCTTTTCAGTTTTGGGTCTATTCTTTGTTCGTTGGTGCGTAAGATGTCGGGGAAAGAAGGTGCTTCGGGAGTCGAGGGTGGTTCTTCTGGCGTGAAGACTATTCAGAGTTTGAATATCCACTCTATGAAGATAGATGTGGAGAAATTTAATGGCACAAACAACTTTGGATTATGGAGATGCGAGGTTTTGGATGCGCTGAACGCGCAGAATTTGGAGGATACCTTGGAGTTAGATGGCAAGCCAGATGAGATTGAAGAGAAGGTTTGGAAAAAGATGAATCGAACGGCGTGTGGTGTGATTAGGTCTTGTTTGACTCAAGATCTAAAATATGATGTGATGAATGAGACTTCTGCGAAGAAGATTTGGGAGATTCTCGAAAGCAAGTATTTGACCAAGAGTGTGGAAAATCGCTTGCATTTGAAGAGGAGACTTTATCGTTTTCAATTGAAGAAGGGAACCTCCATTAGAGATCACATGAACCACTACACGAAGCTTCTTGCGGATTTGGCGAACGTGGATGTTATAATTTGAGTTCCTTGCCTGACGAGGAATATGAGACCTTCGTTCTTACTCTGATTAATGGGAAGACATCCTTTTCGTATAGTGAGGTCACTGCTGCATTGGTGAATTATCAGCTTCGGAAGAAGGATAAGGAGAATTCGACTGAGTCGGTAGCAGAGGCGTTGGTCGCAAGAGGGAAGAATCCGAACCGGAAGAATTGGAAGTCACAGTCTAGAGTAGGGCATCCTACAATTGGAAAAGATCAGTGTGCTTGGTGCAAGGAGACTGGTCATTGGAAGAAAGACTGCCCAAAGCTCGACGAATGGATGAAGAATAAGCAGAAGGGAAAAGGGAAGCAACCATCATCAGAAGCAAACATCGTATCGGATGGTAATAATTCTGACTCTTCTATTTATTCGCTTTCTATCAGTCCTACAAATAGCTATTCGGAGGAATCTGAATAGATGTTGGATAGTGGTGCGACCTATCATGTGTGCCCTAGAAGGGAATGGTTCTCCAGTTTTGAGAAGCTGGTGGATAGTGGTGTGGTGTACATGGCTGATAACTATGCATGCCAGATCCTTGGGATAGGAAGAATTCGCATAAAAATGTTTGACGAGACTGTTAGGGAGTTAAATGATGTGAGATATGTTCCTTCTTTGAGGAAGAACTTGATCTCAATTGGAGCTTTGGTTGGAGAGGGTCTGAATGTTCGAATTGAGGACATGGTTCTCAAGATTGTGGAAGACTCTCGGATTGTGATGAAGGGCGTCAGGAGGAATAACCTGTATTACTTGACTGGAGGTATAGTGGCAGGTGGAGAGCTGACGACTTCTGTTGATTCGACTAGACTGCGGCATTTGGGGCTTGGCCATTCCAGTATTGATTCCTCGCATAGATTGAAAGAGGGTGCAAAGACCTGCAGTTTGAAGTCCAGTGAACATGTTGATGTGAGCAAGAAGACCGAGGTGAAGTGTGGCACCTCTATTCACCGTGCTAAGGGTCGTTCTGGAGGAGTTCACGTGGATGTTTGGGGGCCTTCCAAGGGGACATCATTGGGAGGTAATAGGCGTTTGGTTTCCTTTGTTGGTGGCTGTTCTAGGCGTGTTTGGGTTGCAACCAAATCCCCTTTGGAGAAAGTCCTAGTAGTTTCCAACAGATTGAAGAAGTGTGTAATAGACAGAAAGGTGAAGGTACTCCATTCTGGTGGGAGGTACAAGATGGACCTATTTCTGTATTGGAGCCGAGCTCACGGCATTGCGAGACACTTCGTTGGAAAGGAAATCTTGGGGCAACTAGATAAGGTGACAAATTTGGAGAACCGTGTCTTGCTGGAGGAGGAACGGTGTTGGTGGTCGAGCAATGGTCTGCAGAAGAGTTTCTGGACAGAGGCTTCGACATATTTGGGTCATCCTATTAAAGAGTTGTCAACTGCTGTGATTGGAGGTAAAACTCCATTGGAAGATAGGTCTGGTAGTGTCACTTTGGTTGAAGCTTCGATGAGGAGCCAATTGACTCTCAGCAGGTGGAGAGTTTTGAAAAACCTTAGATGTATCGTAGCGGAGTGGAGATTGATGCTACTCACATTGGGTGCGGGATTTTCCCACATTACTCCAGGTCATTCTGTATTGGCTTGGGATTGCCAGCTGAGGGACACCACAGCGTGGGAGTCATTGATTCGGCTGCAGATGATGAGTTGAGTTTTGATTTCGAGTACAGCTGCATAAGATGTAGTTTGGGATATGGTCAGTGGTTCACCTCAGGTGCAGGTGGTTTGAGGGCATTGGAGGTGCTATCAGTCGTAGACTTGATATGATGTTGGAAAAGGCGTTGCGAATCTTTCTAGTGGATTGAGGCCTTTGCGGAGGCCATTTGGGTAACTACGTTCGGGCTTGATTCCTTTGGGTAAGAGCGATACGTAGGCAGTCTTATGATGCAGGCCGGTGTTTTGGATTTTGTGGGGGTGAGATCGAGTTTTTGGCTGAGTTTGATACTGACATTTGGAGAGTAGATTTGGCATCCTCATTTGGGTTTCTCGACTTGTTATGCGATTGAGTCGTTGTCGTGAATTGTTTCAACAGTATACTAGAGCACAACAAGTGAGACATTTGGTTTGGTTGGTGTCGGCTCAGTTTTGGGAAAGCTTCGCCGAGGTGGAGAATTGTAAACACGGAAGTTGTGAGTGGATTGTGGGGGCCACGAGCTGGCAAACCTATCAAGACACGCGATTTGATGTAATCCCTTTCCGCTCATGAATTGGTTCAGCTCCGCGTGGCCCACCCGAAATTGAGTTGCATGCTATAAATAGGAATTGTATTTTCTCCTTAGGTTTTGTGTAAGGCTGGGGGCGAAATTGTGCAGAAAGAAAAAATCGGCGGCTGTGCTTCGTGCAAAGGAGCAGCGGGCAAAGGGAAAAGTGCAAGCAAGGGGCTGATTTGGACGCAGAAGCAGAGGGGAGAAATTAAAGAGGCGGCCTGCAGAGCTGTTCAAAGGCAGAGAACAAGTGCAAACAGGAGA